AAAAAAAAAAAAAAAAAAAAAAAGAGCCGAGCTCTCATGAGTGCTTAGGAACATGCTCTGCCATGAACCACCTGTATGCCTTGGGCTGAAAATGCATCCTTTAATGAGATGATCAGAGCTGTTTTTCCCCCAGCTGGTTCATGTGAACATTATTTACCACTAGAATGAGATAGGTTTATTACCAACTTAATCCTTTTTTCTTATCTTTTTTTTTAAAGTACTGAAAAAGCTTGTAAAAAAAAAAGAGAGAGAGAAGACAAATTATAATCAGAAACAGGTTGAAAGTATAAAGGGAGAAGGTTAAAAAAACAAAAAAAAAACGTTAACAAACCAGTCAATGACAAAAAGCCCAGCCGCCACTTGGCTGTATGACTAGGGATGCTCAGGGAACCATCCCCACAACAGGCAGTCGCCTAGCTGGAGCCAGTAAGAAAACTTACTTAGTTGCCGCCACTAAGAGTTCGAAGCCTTAAGCCCTATTTTCCATTCTGGTGCTTCAGGCATGATTCATGAATCATTTCTTTGCTCAAACTGTTTAAATTTATTTTGCCTAAAATTCTTCTAACCCCTAAATCCTAACCCCTAACCCCTAGCCCCAATCCTCACCCTAAATCCTAACCACACGTGAGTTTCTACCTTTGCACTGATATGTCAGTGTTGATTATTAGAACTGCTGCATTGGCAAGGCTGCATGAGTAGTGCGGATTTTATAGTAACATTTTGGACTGAGGCCCTGCATTAGCATTACAGGTGTTTTCTACATGAGCACTGTGGGTGTTGTATTCGCATTTCGGATGTCATATCTGCCTCAGGAACACTCTATTTGTGTTCTGAGGCTGCGGTGTGTACTTCGCACTGCTGCTGCCTGGCCTTGAGTTGGGAGAACCTAGGTGCACAGGATTCAGAGGGGCTTTTGGTGTCCAGTTTTCCACAATGAAATCTTCTTACTCGTCTCTGACCTTATGCAGTCGAGCTGCAAACAGGAAGGATTTTACTCACCGTGGACACGGCCCACAGTTGTCCCAGAGTGAGGCTGCTCCACCAGGTCTATACTGAGAATACAACTGGGCCGACCGCCGAGACGCCACGCACGCCGGCGCCGAGACGCCACGCACGCCGGCGCCGAGACGCCACGCACGCCGGCGCCGAGACGCCACGCACGCCGGCGCCGAGTCGCCATCTGAAAAGATGCGCTCGGGCGCCCCCTGCTGGAAGCCAGGCTGTGCAGGGTCCTCTTGCTCACAGTGCTGGGCCTGCCCGCCCTTCTGGTGGCTG